TTTATTACAACCCAGAACCCCACTCCTGGTACTGAGATGAGGAAAACAAAACACATGTTCAGACAAACACAGAATGTTTACAACAGTTAAAAGGTGGGGACAACCTGTACCTTCTTTGGTGATGAGATGGGGGGGGGGGACAAAACTTGTATATGTCCATACCACAGACTATTCCCACAAAGAGGAATGAGGTAATGAGGCAAGAACCCCAAACACATCCTGTGAAGGGAAACAGTCAGACAAGCCATGGGTTGTGTGACTCTGTTTATAGGAAATGCCCAGAACAAGTAAACCTAGGGGTAGAAATTAGCTTGGGGAGTGAAGTTAGCAGGGGTAAGGGGCTTCTGCAGTGGGCCTTGTCTCATCAGTTGAAGGCCAGAGCAGAACAAAGCTGAGGACCCCAGGAAAAACTGCTCATACGGGTGACATCTTGGAACTTGACTGAAGTGTGACTGTGGTATCTGTGTGTACGAAAAACTAATGCACTGTTTACAGTGCTATTCTAAGTTTTAGGTTATGTGGATTTTGCCTGGGTTACAATTCAAATGTGAAGCTGTTTTACCAACTCAGCTCCAAGGGACAGCACAGGCCATCAGGAGAGGGGCCAAGCTGGTCTCCACTTGCTGAGTCCCTTTCAGTCATCCCCCATTCTGTTCTCAGGTGGAGGTTCCTTCTGTCTATTCAGGTCACTGTGCGTGTGTTTACCCCACCTGGCCAGCTTCTTCTCACAGGGGTTGAGGGGTTACTGGGGAGCACATCCAGAAGTTGTACCACTGAGATACACCCCAGCCTTCTTTTTTTTTTTTTTTTTTATTTTGAAATAACGTCTCAGTATATGGTCCAGGCTGACCTGGAACTTGCAATCCTCCTGACTCAGCCTCCTCAGTAGCTGAGATTATAGGTATGGGCCGCTGTCTCCAACTCCAACGCCTCTCTAAATATCCCCTTGGTGAAACATCTTAAAGGAAGTAACCTTAAAGAAAAGCCCCTTGAAGCTGATACAAGCAGATCTTATTTGGAAGCCAAGTGTTAAGAGGACTGAACCTGCTGGCCCACCCAGCCCACCCTAGGTGACAGCCGCATGTCAAGGGCAGCCCAGTGGAGCTCAGCATCGCAGGCTTTACTTCCGGTCCCGCTCACGAGCCGCCACGAAGTTGAGCAGGTCAATGGCTGTGACAACCCCGAACACCATCTGCCGTGCGTTGGACTCACCATTGCTGTGGTCTGTGGGGAACAGATGAGGCCATGGTGTGACAGCACTTGGGTATGGAAGGAGGTGTGCTGCGTGTGCACCCCAGGCCTGTTGCAGGCAGATCCAACACTGCCCCCCAGGCTTCCTCTCCTCAGAGCTGCCTGAGCATGGCTGCTCTGGGGACCCAGGGCCATGTTGTCCTCCCCCCATGCATCACACAGTGAGCCACAGAGCCCTGGGGGTGGGTGACCACAGCCACACAAGGGTCTCAGGACTTGGTGACAAACGTGGGTCTCCATCTATGCCCAAGGCCTCTCAGCATGAAAGCAGCCTCACACCACACAGTGGTTCATTTCAGCATATCAGCAGGACCAGGCCACTGGCAGCCCAGACACCTGCCTGCACAGCTATGATGCGAGAGCAGGTCAGGCACTGGGAGGACAACGTCGTTCTCTGCCCGAGTGTCTTTAGTGAGCTCTTGGGGCTGCCTCCACTTTCTGAATCTATTCAAAATGTTTCTCTTTCATTGTTATTTTGACTTTGGGGATGAACCAGAAGTCTCACAGTGCCAGATCTGGTGACTAAGATGGATGAAAACACAGTGTCATGTTTTTAGGAGCTGCCTTTCTGTTGGATGGTGTTTGGCAGCAGCAGTCACTGTATTTTTGGTCATACCTCACAAAGACACTCAGGAAAGAGGACTCCAGAGCTGCTTTGGCAAGTGGCAGGGATGGTGGGATAAGTGTGCTCCAAGCAAAGGGGAAGACTGAGGACTCGTGGCCCTGTCTTTTACTGTAATTTTTGCATTCACTGCATACTTTGAGCAGCCCTGTATAATAGGCTGGAGGCACAAGAGCACTCCACCACAGCTCAGGAGTCCTGCATGCCCCTCCTGGCCCTCGAGAGGTGTTCTGAGGGGTACATACCTGCAGGCCCCCCCACCACGCCTGCCCGGGCCTGGTCCCGTGCTGTAGAGCCAAGGACGGGAGAGGATTAGACACAAGGCTGCCTCAGAGCAGCCTCTAGGCAGGCTTCAGAGCCAGGCTCTGGGCCAGGGATGGACACTTGTGCCCTTCACCCCTAACAAGGGCACAAGGATGACTGTCCACCAACAGAGAGAGAGAGAGAGAGAGAGAGAGAGAGAGAGAGAGAGAGAGAG